CCGGCGCCGCGCAGCGCCCCCCGTGGCCGGGAGCGGAGTCGCAGCTCGGGCCGGGCACAGCGCCCCCCGCGCTCTGGAGCGGGATGGCAGCCCTGGGCCCCTTGCAGCGCTCCGCCCCAACCTCCCCGAGGCCTGCAGTGCCCCCTGCGGCTGGGAGGGGAATTGCAAGCTCGGCCGGGGTGGGGAAGTGGGCGGGCCCTCAAGTCCCCCAAGTCAGTGTTCCTGGTCCCAGTCTTCCTTGAGGGTGTCCCATATCTGAGGCGGCTTTGGCTTACCCACCTCTGACACTGAGTTATTTTATGGGGGAGGGGTGCTGAGGGACACGGTACCTAGAAGTGAGTGACTCCAATACCCCATTTATTTCTTATCCTGAAAATAAGAGATACTCTTGTCATCTTTTAGAAAACATTCTCCCTATTGGTCCATGGAACAAAATCCTTCATTCTCATTGGTCCATAACGGTAATATACTATTCTATATTGCCAGTACTTTATAGGTTCCTTTCCAACTGGCCAATGTATTACATCCATTAAATGTGATAATGCTACTCTTTCCATTGGCTGAAGGCCAATGTGTCTAACATCTTGATGTTTTGCATTAAACCCATGAGCTTCTTCCCCTTCCTAGTCTTCCAATGTGTTAAGTGTGTTTCTCTACTCAACTTTTTAGGGGAATTAGAAAGAGCCCAGCTGTAGAGATTCTCTTCCCTGATTCAGTAGCACCTCATCTTAACCCTGGAAATAGTAGAGATGGGAATAAAATCCAGTAACTCTTATGTGAATTCATTCAATACAGGTGTGGGAGACAGATACTTCCTGATAGGCAAAGGTTAGCCTAAATCATTTCACGTTGGTTATGTTAGACTAGCATGTTCCATGGCTTCATGGATGTAGATACTGAACACATACAATCGAGAAAGAGTCTAATAATAACCCATGACTATTGCTCAAAAAAGGGCCTATTTCTTTCATTGACCTGCCCCCACAGACAGGAGAGGTAGCTGGTACTTTCTCCGAGGCTTCTGTGCCTACCCAGTTATCTCCCGTTCATACCTTTGTCTACACCCTTGACCTACTTTTCTTGTAGAAAAGGCTGGGTGTGGGAGGGGCAGGAGGAGAAAATAAAACAACTACTGACTTTAGAAAAAGTACAAAAATATCTAGGGAAGTCATTCTAGAACTGACTAGAGCACCAAGGGAACATTCTCTTCTCCTACCTTGTTACTAACATCTTCCATAGCCAATCTGGGACCTGACTCAATGATTTTCTGGGCTGAGAGACATTTCTTAAAGCACATGACATGTATGTTTTAGTTAGTAGGAAGGAAACAAAGGTAAACCTATACAAGACCTATCTGTCTTGCAGCTTTTCTATCAAAAATATCTGCTAGGATTTTTCTCCCATATGGGGCTTTAATTACAGTCCCAGTGTTCAAAGCTGGTTTCTCACAGCATGAGAGAGAAATGTGCTTGAGCTCAGGGATGAGAAAAGCAAAGGTTAAACTCATTCAACAAATATGGCAGGCACTTTTCAAGTGCCAGGAAATGGCCAAAGTGTCAGAGACACAACACTGAATAAAATAAAACCCTTACCCTCATGGAGTTTACATTCTTTTCCTACACTAGAAGGATATCAGGAATGAAAAATGAAATCACGCTTGGCCTCAAAGAAAATAAACGGCAGAAAAACCTAACAAAAAAATTTTCAAAAGAAAGGAAAAAAGGAGGACAAACGTTAGATGCTCAAACGTTGCTCCTGCTCAAACAGTAGGTGAAACAAAACAAGTTTTAAATAAAGGGGCGGGGGAGCTGTAATTCTAAGCTTCTTTAACCACATGTCACTGCCCTACCACACCCCCACTGGCCCTCCTTTGTTTCCAGGACACATGACAACCCCCACTTTTTCTAGCATATATTTTATCACAGTTTCCTGTTCCAGGTAGTCAAGCCAATCCTTGACTCGTCTTCCTGCACACTGCATTGGTATTCAATGATGAGTGCCACCGATTTGAACAGGAAACTAGGACGTAGGCTAAGCAACTTGACTCTTCTTGCCGCCTGGCAAGTCAGCACTACAACTGGTAAAGAAAGGCTAAGCCTTAGGGACAGACGCTCCTGCCTGGATCTCTAAGCAACTACACTTCACCCACACACATTGGAAGAATGTTAACATAGGGAGAAGAAAGGGTGGGATAGAAAGGCCTAGAGAGAAAGAGTAAGCCACACAGCTTCTTTCAGCAAATGAACACTCCAAGAAGAAGCATAATGGAAAATACCCTTCTCTTCTAGGACAAAAGAGAGCTTTGCTATGAGATTATTTTCAAAAAGTGATATTAGGATGGAGAAATTGTCTAGGTCTTTGGAATCTAAATTCTGATGACTATAGTTTTATCTCTTCAAGACAAAACATGTGAAAATTCTTAAGAAAGGGATTCCTGATCGTCTCCCAGCCTACCTTCTCCCCATCTCCCAAAACCTACAAACCAATCTAGACAAGTTCCTGACTGCATCAGGCATTTCTCAGGGATCTGGGATGTTTTAACACTTGACTTCAATCTGCTGGAAGTGAGCGTGACAGCGGGAAAGAGGAGACAGGTATTAAGTGCCAGGGAAACAGACCAGAGTGCCAGAAATAACAAAGGCCTTAGCAGAAGCCTGGGCCATAGGAAATGATCTGCTATGGCCACAGCAAGTGACCTAGGGCCAGATGCTGCCTTGCTTGAAAGGCCTAGCCATGTCTTAGGGGAAGGGACGGGAGCAGTTAGGTGGCCTTCACACTGCTTCCTCCTTGCCTTTCTTTGTGGTAAAGGGAAAAAGACACTGTAATACACAAAGTTGCTTGGGAAAATGGATTATTCTAATAAAACTTTATTTTTTCAAACACAGCCACAGAGGCAGAACCTCATGTTTAACACACACAGACTTATGGATTTTTTTTTAATATAAAACAAAGTTTACGAAAATTGTTTTTCCACTTTTTGTGTTTGAAATCCCATTAGCACAGGGACTTTGGCAGCAGGTGGGAGTGAAGGGCAGCTAGGGCTGCCACTGGGCAGTCACCAAGCACAGAGGAGAGCACCAGCCTGGGAGTGGCTTCACTCACACACGCAGGAATACTCACCTACTGGCCAGCCACACCACACACACAGCACAGATGCAGACGTCTACCCAGCGTCAGCCATGAGCCCTGGAGGTGTGCTCCACTCTGGGTAAGCCCAATATGTGAAAATCCAAATAGTCAAAACAGCTAAAGTTAGAGGGAGGTTGCTTGCTTTACGAAAGAAGCAATCATAGGCTGCTTTTAAATGGTCAGCAGTCCAAATGCATCAAAAAATAGCATTTGGTTTACACAGAACTGCTAGAACAGATCTTTTGTGTAAAGCAAAATGAACCACGTCTTGAAAAGGCTTGTTCCAGGGCCACGGGTACTTAGATTGGAAAGCAAGATGATAATTCTGACTAGCTTAACTTTCCAGACTTAAAGTAATGGAATTAAAATGCAATAACTATAGACCTTCTCCCCTAAGGATGGTGCCCTAGGGCTTTAGAGAACCCAGGATAGAGGCAGTTACTGCCCTCACTTATTCAGCTTAGGGCCTGCAGAGACCCTCTTGGCACGGCCAGTGGCCTGTGGGAACCTGGCACAGCCAATCTGCAGCAGAGAGCCTAGGGGGTGAGGATGCCCCAGAAGAGAAGCTGGCACCAGGGAAATCATGGCCTGAAAAAGAAGAAGGGCCAGGGGAGGAATGAAATAAGGATGGGTAACTCTTGGGCTCAGTTTCCCTGGATTCTCCAGAGAGTCTCTCTCAGGCCCTTAGAGACCAGGTAGCCCAGTGGTAATACATAGTAACTAGCCAGGAGACAGGGAGGAGCCCAGGAAGGATAGAGCTTCAGTCTCTGACCCTCAGAGACTCAAAAGACATGGCCGCCTCCTCTGGAATGGAGGTGAGGTGATGGAACCATCACTGATGCTCCTACCTGACATGTGGGAGACCTAGGAAATATCAGGTTCAATTCTATGAGGAAGAAAACATAGACGTTAGTCTTCTTCCTTGACATGAAGAATTGGTTCCTAAGACACTCTAGATATTGAAGAGAAAAACGCCCTTCTTGTAATAAACAGAAAGGACAGGTCCAATTTGGTCATGCAGGGTCTAACCAAAACTGGACAAAGCCTCGGAGGCAATTGTGGCAGCAGCTTCACTATGCATTTCCACGGGTGCCAGCCCTACTGGGGTACCTGCAGGCCTTAACCTCATCACTGCAGCCAATGGGACATGCTGCCCTGGCTCAACTTGAGAAACAAAATAGGAAATTCAATCCAACAACAACAAACTCCCAAATGCTTCTCGCAGTCTTTGCTTTACACATTCTCAGCCAATCCCTCAGTGAGCCAACCTCCCTGTGGTCTCTTAGGACCAATTAGAGGCAAATAAACATTTCCTGGCAGAAGTGGAAGACAAGCAAACTATTAAATGCTGAACACCCCTTCCTCTTTCTCAAGCAAGGCAGAGAGTCTGGGCCTGGATCTTTTAAGTAAAAGAT